TTTTTCCTTTTCTTCTTCACCCCCTCTTCCTCTTCCTCTGTTAGAAGAGCACAAAAAATACGCTTTCGTCCGTACTTGAACTCATTGCTTTAAAAACTAAACTACAGTAAGTAAAAAACACTTCGACTATAACTAAATAGCGTTGCCGCGTTTCAAAAGCGCGCTATAGTGGGCGCAGTCCCTTCGCAGCCGGAAAAATTTCTCTTCCCAGCGCCGTGCCGCGCCGCGGTCTAGTGGGCGACAACCTTTAGTGCCTCGACCCATACAGGAGCGCCGTATAGAATTATATTTTGCATTGATACCGCAAGAACTTTTCATTTTTTTTTGAGGAGGGTTCTTTTAGGTTCGGAAGTACTCCACATATAGCTTTGACAGTTCTGTTTGCTTTTCCGCAAGCATCTTTTACATGTTGACTGTAAGTTAGCCCTCTATCTAGTGTTATTCCGAGGTATTTTACTGTATTAGTTGGTTTAACGTACTTCCCACCGGCTTTAAATGGTATACCACCTATCTTTGTGTTTCGGTTTAGAAGAATAACAGCTGTTTTCTCCGGCGCAACTTCCAACTTGTATTATTAAGTGTGTTTTGTGTTTTCTAAAATGGAGAGAACAACAAGGGAAAAGTAAGTCTAAACCAAAAACATAAAATATTATATTTTATGTTTTTGAGCCATTATTTCGTGATAAAATATGATAGACCTGTCTCAAATAGTTTCTGAAAAATAAAATTAATTTTCTTAAAAGGTCCGATTAAGTTTATATCTCCGAAACTAAAGTTTCAAAAAGAGTCGTACTATATCTACAAATTCCCCGTGTTATTAACATTGAAAATGTTTCTGTTATCCTATATAAGGGAGCCCAAATCGAATTAAAATGCTACATTTGCCACACCATGACGTCATCACGCGTATATGTATAGGAAATCTCGGCGCGGCGCGGCGCGGCGCGGCGGCGGCAGTCGGCCATCGCTAATTGTTTATTGATATATCTTTATTAGTTTAAAAGCAAAAAATATGGGGTTTGCTTTTTTACCTTGTCAAGACATAAGCGAAACTTATAAATTGTTTCTTTTTTTCATTTAGGCCTTCGTTTTTCGTTAAATGAAAGTTATATTTAAAAAAGTCAATTTTTAAACCAAATTTTCGCATGATTGAAATGAGTTATTCATGTTTAAAGTTTTTTTCGGTCATAAGCGCTAATGGAAATGTTTTTTTGTAAATAATTATAAAAAATTACTCCCTACGAAGACTTTATTTTGTACTGGATCAAAAAATAAGTATTTATTTTCTCTATACGGTGGTATTAATATATCGATTTTTGATGATAGTGCCCTTTTTCCCGGTCTAATTTTGTACTACTTTTGGAATAAGGGTCCCCATATCATGTACTTGTACTTCCTTCCCTGAAAAATTCAGGTTTGGACACCGAAGTGGGATACATATATAAAAGCTCAAAGGGTTTTTTTGTTACATCCATCCCGCCGAAACCGCCTCGCCAATCTTGATGATTCTTTTTTTAAATGAAAGGTATATATGTCTAGATTTGTTATGAAGTATTATTATATCGTTTAATCGGTATTTCTTTATGTAAAATGAATAAATATTAAAACATACCTGAAAAACATCTACACAAAATACCTCCAGAAATCAATTATTTGTCATTGTCAGTGGTGTGTCAGTTAGATTATAGAGATTATATATCAAGCTTTTAGATATTTTAGGGGTCAGTTCATACCACCAGCTTTAGATACATCAATATTAGCACAAAGGTTCGTTTAAAGAACATTAGTGATTAGTGAATTAGTTATGCAAAGCGATTTTAGAAAATTCATCCTCTTAGAGTGTAAAATTATGTCGACCGATTTGTTGTATGAAAATCATTTACTATCTGGTCTAGAAGAATGAAATTCTACAGAAAGAATAAGAAGAGATTTTTGAAATTCATCAACCAAAAGCGTAAAGTTAGTAAAAAATTATATAAACCTTCGTGACCTCTGGATTATACACATAAAAATTTGCACAAAGGATCATTTAAAAGACATGAGTTAATTATTTGGACATAGGAATTTATGAAATTCATACCCTTAGGGAGTAGAATAAGGTATGAAAGTTTGCTGTACAAAAATGCATTACTATAACATCTAGAAGTATAACATATTATACAAGGGTTTATTTATAGTGACATCAATAATATGAACGAAATATTTCTTCTTCAAGTCACCCTTCTAGGAATAAAAAATAACATATAAAGAGAGTATTAGTGCTCTGGAAAAATAAAATAAAATCAGGCCAGTATATCAAGAAAAGCGACAATTAAAAACTTTATATGTAAAAGCTATTTATTTTAGTAATTCAGTTTATATGGGACCATAGGTAGGGTTCTATCCATAGAGGGTTAATGTCATTTCACTATTTATTATTTTCTAAAGATCTTTTTAGAAATTTTGCAAAATCTCGACTTTGGTTAGGTTAGGTTAGGTCGAGTTCTAAACTACTTTTCTTTACTACTATCACAGAATATCTAGCTACGCAACAGAAGCCTCGTTACATGTATAAAATTGTAGGTAGCAAAAGGAGACAGGCTTTAAAAGTCTGTCTCCAAATCAGATATTTTGATGTGGTAGTTTCGCTACTACATAATAGGGGGCAATAAATTTAAAAGAAAACAGTTTTCTACAAACAAAACTTAAAAGAATTTTGTGCAGTGTTGCCATTGTGTAATTCATATCGTAATACTTCCTGATAAAGCCTACCTTCAAATTTGCTACATCATTTAAACATATTAAAATAGATCAGAGCTGTTTTTTTTCAGTTTGCCATGTTAGTTGGAATTAAATCTTATGAGCTAAATTATAATCGCTTCCTGACATTTGATTGTATAATTGAATCCTGAATTTTCATTGTAATTCGGCGACAATATAATAAGTATTGTTCTACTATTATGATATCACTTCCTGACGTTCGATTGTGTTCATACCAAGTTCATATTGTATAATCGGGAAAAAACGGCGTTAGCGATAGCTATGAAATTAATATCACTGTCATTTTATATGTAAATTTATATGGGAAATGTCCTATATAAATTTACATATTCCAGCCAACTGGACGCCGTTTTTTTCAGGAGCATATCAAGTGATACCATAATATAGTACTATATTACGATACATGGCGTTCGATTGGGCTTAAACTTGGTATACTATATCTTCAGTTACATTGTAATATCATGGTACCATGGAGCATATAAAGTGGTACCTTCTATAGTACCATATAGCAATATTAGGTACATGGCGGCAATAGGGCTTAAACTTGGTATACTACGTATTTTCGGTGACATTGTAATATGATGGTACTATGATGCATATCATCTGGTACCATAATATAGTACCATATTATGTACAGGCGTTCGATTGGGCTTAAATTTGGGATACTACATATCTTCGGTGATATTGTAATATTCTGGTACCATGAAGCATAATAAGAGGTACCATAATATAGTACCATATTACGATACCATTTCCTGGCGTTCGATTGGACTTAAATTTGTTATACTACGTATCTTCGGTTACATTGTAATATGATGGTACTATGATGCATATAAAGTGGTACCTTAATATAGTACCATATTACGATACCATTTCCTGGCGTTCGATTGGGCTCAAACTTGGTATACTACTTATTTTCGGTGACATTGTAATATGATTGAACTATGATGTATATAAAGTGGTACCTTAATATAGTACCATATTACGATACCATTTCATGGCGTTCGATTGTTCTTAAATTTGGTATACTACGGATCTTCGGTCACATTGCAATATTATGGTACCTTAAAGTATATCGAGTGGTACCATAATATAGGACACTATTATGATATCATTTCCTGGAGTTCGATTGGGCCCAAATTTGGTATACTTTTCTTTATAAAGATTTGTTTAATTAATAATTTTAATTTATTTTACGAATTTTAATTTATTGTTCGATGTCGTGACAGCAACTTTTATGCCGAACTAATATATTATTAATTGTACCTGTGTCACTTTTTTAAAATCTACCTAGGTCTATATAAATAACGTGGCAAACGGAAGAAATTTGTTATTATAGTATTTTTTAGTTAGTTAACATTTTTTGTACTGCATTTTAATAAATTATTTCCATTATTATTAAACTTATATTTCATTACTAACGTTCCAGCATTAATAAATATCACTATCAATCGCCCTGTATATTATTAATTTTAAAGGTAATTAAAGGTATTTTCTTAGTTAACATTATAAGGTAGTGTATATTAAAAATGTATATGTTTTGTAATAATATACTTAAAACTATTTTAATAGCCAAAGGAATAATTAATATAAGTGTATCTGACAAGAAAAGAAGAATAGAAAGAAACACATACTGCATTATACACAATAAAAAGAATGGGATGCCAATTCAAGTATTTTTGAATCTGGCAACTGTGCATATTTAGCCGAGCTATAAGGCCGTCGACGAGCCGTCGATCCAAAACCGAAAGTTTAAAATTTCTAATTATATTCTGATTATGATATTGTCGCGCCATCTAGTATTCTATTTGTGCAATTTTCGCTCTTTCATTTCGAGTATTTTTCTGTTGCGTAGCTAGATATTCTGTGCTACTATACTTTTTCAGTGAATGTTTAAATCTGTTGTTTTTTGTTAAGTTCGTTATTTAAACATATGTATGTAATACACTCATATTAACACTAATCATATTTTTACGTTTTTATTCATCATTTTCAATGCCCCGCCGGTTGCATCTTTGTAAAGGACTGTGAATTTTTAAATGGGAAATAGAAAATTAGGATGAGGCACCACTTAATATTAATATTAAAAGCTTGAACTTAACCAGCATTTTTTTTCATTATCCTGAACGATATTTTCCCGATAACTACAAAAAATTTTTTTTTTTGGTGCACCCTAATAAATAGAAATATATTATGGAGAAGGACTATGATAGTATGTTCCCTACTATTATATTACTTACCTTGTTGCCAAATCTTTATGTACAAAATTTACTCCTTCTAAGTATTTCATTCCTGACGCCACTTGAGACGCCATAAACATTAATGAACCATAACTGCAACAAAAATAGTATATTTCACATTATATTTCATTAAAATATAATATTTTTTTTTTAAATCGCACACTTTTAATGATCATCTTGGATTAAAACTGTAATATAGTCTGTAAAACGAATAACTTTGAATCTGACAGTTCCCGCGGGCTTTTCTAGTGTTAATTTTATTAGGTTAGCAACTTGCGGCCATGCTGACGCAATGCCGTCTCTAATAGAACAGCCTTGGAACGAGATTTATGACGTCACACTAGTTAGATACTACAGATTAATAACTATGTTGTAGAATATCTGGAAAACATAGTTATTCCTCGATTTGTTGGTTTGTATTTTAAAAATGATATAGTTTACATGAAATATACATAATATACAGTTAATAAATACAATATATATATATATATATATATATATATATATATATATATATATATACCTATTTTTTATATTAAAAAATAATCTGGCAGATAAACTATGAACCATACAAATGCAGCAAATGTTTTACAATATGACTGAAATCGTACTCCATAGTCAATGTAGATAGTTTTTGTGTTAAGAATAATAATTTAAAAAAATATGTGGTCATCTTTTGACAAGTTTATATTAGTTTATTAATTGTAGTAAACATAATATATAAATAAATTTTGTGAATGCAAATAAGAGAGAGTTTAGAGATCTATTAGTAGATATTGAATGTTTTTTGTTAAATTAGATCGATTTTCGATCCCCAAAATTTAAAATATATTTTACATTTTACCCATTATCTTATGTACCACCTATTCATTATTTGTATGTTGTAAAACATTTGCTGCATTTGTATGGTTCATGTTTATTAGCCAAAGTATTTATTATAATAAATAGGTATATATTATATTGTATTTATTAACTGTATATTATGTATATTTCATGTAAACTATATCATTTTTAAAATACAAACCAAAAATACGAGGAATAATTATGTTTCCATGTATTCTCCAACATATTTATTAATCCGTATTATCTAACTAGCGTGACGTCATAAATCTCTGCCCGTGGCTGTTCTAATAGAGACGGCATTGGTCTAATATTTAGAAATGTCAAAAGCTGATGACATTTTTTACTTTGTCAATTATGTCATTTCGTGTTGATTTTTGCAAGAAGAGGAAGAATTGTCACTTGTTTTATTATTTTCCTTTTCTATTTCACGAAAGTAAAAAGAGTTACCTATCTGATTCGTTCAGGCTAGTTCAGGCACTCAATTTAAAGAATATCAGTAACTTTTTTGACCGAGGGATTTTGTATTTGCCATGTTGGTGGAAATAACGGTCAAAATTCAAAGTTATTCATTTTATAGACTATAATAATAATAGCTCTCGTATATAGCATTTGACGCCTTGGGAGCAGCAAGGTACAGCTTGCCATGCTAGAGCCGTTCGGTATACAAGGAAGGTAATGTGGCTAACACTACGCTTCAACCGCCTATTATTACTTCAGGATTGTGAATCCCAAGTACTCATTTAAAGCTGAGTCGACCTAGGTCCCAAACTATTTTTATTTTTAATAAAAATAGTCGCCTGATGAAATGCCGGGTGTAGGATTCGAACCCACAACCTTCAGATTGGTAGACGAGAGCCTGTACTTCTACGCCACCGGGTACCATAATTACACCATGGATTAAACCTAATTTTTGTTTTATCCAAAAAGTACAATAAAGATGAATTTTAATGAAAAAATCGTTCCTCGATCCGATAATTTATCCAGTAAAAAGTGTAAACAACCCCGTCTTTATTTTTTAGTTCACTTCACAATTACCAGTAACATATATGTAGTTTTTTGTTTTAACTATTGGTAGTTTTGAACTTTAATTTGTTTTAAACTTATTAAAAATATTAAACTATTCATCATTATTCGTCATTATAATATTGGCATCTCTTCTCGAACGAAACATACTAAATCCTGATAGCACAGGGATATTACGCTTCCGTTTTTCCTTTTTGAGGTATGGAACCCTAAAAATGGACCTTCAAGTCATAGTTTTTGTTCGTAAACAAGGATGAACACAACGGATGATTTTACTTTGAGTGATTCACTTTAGATCGGTACGTCAAAAGTGATACAGCGTAAATCCCGCTTGATAGAATATAACACTTTTGAAAAATTTTATTAAAGAAAATGTTACATTATTCGATTATTTCTTACTGTTTACCTTAATGTTTTCGCATTACTGACTATCGTCGTGGATTGAGCAACGTGATCTTGAAGGAACTGGCATAGATCTCCATAATAGGTGTACTCCCTTACCATATAAAAAGGTGAATTGTGCAAGGAAGCTCCTAGTAGAACGGCAAAATTTACGTCTCTTAATTTTGCCAGAGATTTTGATTCCCTGAAACGTTTCAAAAATACTAGATTAAAAAAATTAATTGGAACAAAAATTACACTAAATATTATCAACGAATAAAAAATTAAATTAAATAATCAGTCAAAATACACACGTTGTATTTCAAAAATTTTTTTTTCAAATTTTTTCTATCTCGGGTGCGTCTCAAAAGTGGCTCACCCCTATAACTTTTTTATTTTTTCAGGTAAAAAAAAACGAGATTTGGTATGTTAGTATGTGATATAAATTAGGATTAATTGGCGTATTCAATTGTTTTTGGTCACTTCCTGTTTCACCGGAAATAATTACAACTTTTTGTTTTTAAATGACACCCTCGGTATATCTCGACTTTTGACGTTTTCGACAATTTGAATCAAAATACCATGTATGTCCTATCAAATTATGCGTATAAAACTGCTTTTTCCAAATATGCTAATGAGCCACCCTTGTTCCATTTGAAAAAATTGAGATATTTTTAAAAATACGACTTGGTCATCTTTTAACCGGCCAGGACAAGACACGAAAAACATCAGACGATCAAAACTATTATTCCAAGGCTCCTTGATTACCAATTAGTGTTTTTAACACAGCCATGGCACTCTAGATTGAAAATTAAAATACGATTTTTTTAAAGCAGTAATGTCAACACTTGACATATAATATGTCATTCTATTCAGAGTGTCATTTTCTATCGAATAAAGTGAAAATTTGCCGATGGAACCATTTAAAAATCAAAAGTTGTAGTAATTTCCGGTGTAACAGGAAGTGACCAAAAACAATTGAATTCGTCAATCAATCCTAATTTATGTTATATATTAGCATCCCAAATCTCGTTTTTTTATCTGAAAAAATAAAAAGGTTATAGGGCACTTTCGAGATGCACCCGGTATATTTAATTTTCATAACGGTTCTTCCAAAAAAATTCTATATGGGTATTTCACCACTGCAAGAAAATCTACATTAGGTATACTGATAACCAAATTTGCCTAAAGAACAAAAAAAATGCTTAACGTTTCGGAAAGTTTATCTCTTTCCGTCGTCGGAAGCAAAAAAATACAAAGAATAAAGAAAACACTATTTAAAATATTTAAATGCGACTATTCGAGGTCACTTAAGTTTTTTTTTAAACAGATAGGTCTACAAAAACCGTTGACGTTCTTTAATGCAGCAGTGTTTACAAAAAATAATTATTTTATTTTGTAGATTTTCTTGCAGTGGAGGAATATCAAATAGGATTTTTTTTGGAGAGATGAATCCGCCACATATAGTCTCAGAGCTAGCAACGTTTTTGAGAAAGTATTTTAAGACATCTGGCTCTTTGATATATCTTTTACTATGCTCTCTGGAAGAGCATGCGGCCCGTCTGGCTGCCGATACCCCTTGCGTTCACTACTGCGCATCGGAAGAAGATCCTATATTTTTTATTAATTTAGTCCTATAAATTCTAATATTGAAAATAAATCGAATATGTCTCCATAGCACAGTGCGTAGAGTTTCTGACCGCGAACCGATGATTCAGAGTTCGAATCCGGGTCAGGGCCAAACATTTTTTTATTTTATTTTCGTTTATATTCTGATAGTAAAGTATTAAATAATTCTGGTAATTAAAAAAAACCAAATATTTAATACTTTACTATCAGAACATAAACAAAAATAAAATAAAAAAGTATTTGCCCTGACCCGGATTCGAACTCTGAATCATCGGTTCGTGGTCGGAAACTCTACGCACTGCGCTATGGAGACATGTTCGATTTATATTCAATACTAGAATTTAAAGGACTAATAAGAATATAGGATCTTCTTTCCATGCGCAGTAGGGAACGCACTGTTTACCGGCAGCCAGACGGGCCGCATGCTGTTCTAGAGAGCATAGTAAAAGATATATCAAAGAGCCAGACGTCTTAAAATACTTGATTTTCCGACGTTGCTAGCTCTCGTACTAATAGGTATAGACATTTTTTACAACTGTTCTTGTTACTTAAAATCCTCCAATTACAATTTTAACATTTTAATTTCTGATTTGTACACTGTTGCCATCACTATCAAGTCTTTTATTTTTTAGTCTCGTCCCCATAATAAATTCTAGCTTCATCGTGCCAGATTAAGCGATTCCATTCACTTTAATACTCTGGAATTTAAATGCATCTCTAATCCGACTGGATGTGTTTTCGTTACGATTCCAGATCCTTATCATTGCTCCAACTCTATAGACCGTTCCGGAGCTCTAAAATTTTACGTTTGACGCTAAAATTTAACCGATCTCATCCAGTGTTTCTTTGGAAATTACTTTTCTGTGATTTTACGCCGCGATTGACGGAGCTGATACCAGCTGCGGAATGTACTCTGTGCTCGTGAGGATTGTAAATATGTAGAGGAACGAGTGGCTGGAGAGAGATTTTTGAGCGGGGGATCGGACAAATTTTAACGCTATCGGTGATTGGATAGGGAGATGAAATTCGGAGTTTTCGTTAAAATATCGCCTGTTTGTGTTTAAGGGAATTGGAAAATTGGGTATTTTGTCGTACATCCAGTGGCGTATCCTCAATAAGTGTACACAAGTGTGTAAAAACTAAACTAACTTAGATTTTATCATTCTATCCTTAATTCTATTCAATGACGCATCTAGAAATTAAGTCTAGGAGGGGTAGTAACAATCTATACGAATATATAAAATCCTTAAGTGACTGACTCACTGATTAATCACGATCCTGCTCAAACCACTCAACGTAAGAAGCTCAATCTTAGCATACAGGTTGATTCTAGGGTGTTGAGGTTCGATAAGAAGGGATTTTTCGAAATTCCAATTCCAAGGGGGTGAAACCACCCCTCAAATATTACAATATTTTTTTATTTAAAAAACGGTCAAGTTTCCGAAAAAACGCTTAAACGCGTATATTTTATTTTGTTTTTTTACATATTTTAAGATTTTTTAAAAATATATACAGGGTGTTTCGAAAAATCTGGTCATTGATTAATTACGATCCTGCTTAAAGCGCTTGACGTAAAAAACTGATTTTTGAAAAACGGATTGACTTTAGGGTGCAGAGGTTCGATACGAAGGGATGTTTCGAAACTCAAATTCTAAGGGGGTGAAACCACCCCTGAAATATTAGAATATTTTTTATTTAAAAACCGGTGAGTTTTTCGGAAAAATTCTTAAACACGTGTATTTTATTTTGTTGTTTTACATATTTTAAGATTTTTTATAAATTTATACAGGGTGTTTCCCACCACTGAGTAATCACGATTCTGCTTAAACTGCTTAAACAATTACCGTCCAGTGTCACTTCTGTCATCTTTTTCAAAAGTGTTTGAGAGGGCTCTTTGTGATAGACTTGCATCTTTTTTGGATCGAAATAGTATATTATCGGATACTCAATATGGGTTTAGGCCAAAAAAGTCATGCCACCTGGCAATATATAATGTGCTGAATTTTATTATTGAAAGGGTCGACAGAGGTGAGAAGGTAGCAGGTATATTCTTTGATTTATCCAAGGCTTTCAACACCTTGAATCATGGCGTCCTGTTAAATAAGTTGAATATATATGGAATAAGGGGGAGTTGCCGCGCGGTTGCTCGGAATCGTATTTATCTGATCGTCAACAACTAATTTGTGTCACTCATGAAAAGTCAAAATACTTCTCTCAGTCCGTCACAGTAAGCCAGGGAGTTCCACAGGGCTCTATATTGGGACCGCTTTTGTTCCTACTGTATGTGAATGATCTTCATGGGGAGTTTGTTTCGGGGCTGGTTTGCCAATATGCAGACGACACCTCTCTGGTGTTGACAGACCAAGTTTTGCGGGGGCTCTCTGGGGCTTCTTCGCAGACAGTGGGGGCGATGCGGGAGTGGTGTAGGAAAAATAGCCTACAATTGAACACTTCCAAGACCGGACTTCTTACTTTTGGTAAAACCAGAGACAACGAGTCCTTGTATGTCAGCTGTGATAACAAGTCTATACCACTGGCCGATTATGTAAAGTTTCTCGGTGTCTACATTGATCCTACGCTTCACTGGACAAAACACATAGATATTTTGACTTCTAAATTAAACAGTAACTGCGCGATAATACGAAGATTAAGGGACCAATTGTCTCTGGACACCATTCGAACTCTTTACATCGCCACTTCACAATCCTTAATTATGTATTGCGTTATGTTTTGGGGATCTTCGGCTCTAGCAGAGCAGATCTTCAGGGCCCAAAAGAGAATGGGTGTATGTTCGGCTTGCATCCGAGGACATCTTGTAGGCCATATTTTGCAAAAATTCATGTCCTGACTGTGCCCTCTTTATATTTTCTGTCCCTGGTGATGTTGGTTAAAAAGCATTCCGCCCTTTTTGCTACGAACTCGAGTCACTATGGTCCAGATATGGAACGGATTACCAGGGGGCGGGATGATTTAAGCATACCTCTGCATAGCTCGTCTTTTTTTCGGAGGGGCCCAGGCTACAGGGCTGTCAAGGCCTTTGAAATGCTCCCAGCAAATATTAGGGCTGTAGGTAGCGATTACCACTTTAGGGGGTCGGTGTTGGAATTTTTACACACACGCGGTTTTTATAGCTTTAACTTTGAATTTTAATCATGTCCTTTGTCTGAATATTGTTGAATTTTTATTATTGTTATTTTTGTGTGTTTATTACTATGTTTTAATGTTCTAAGATAATATACTCTGTAATGGGATAATATACTCTGTTCTGTGACGTTGCTTTGTGATCGGGAAGATCATTTTGTCGGCAATAAAGTATTTGTATATTTGTATATTTGTGTATTTGTATATTTGTATATTTGTATAAATATTACAATATTTGTTATTTAAAAAATGGTTAGTCTTTCGGGAAAACGCTTGTACACGCATAATTTATTTTGTTTATTAACATATTTTGATTTTTTTTAAAAAATCCTACAGGGTGTTGCAAAAAGTTGGGTAATTGATTAACCACGATTCTCCTTAAATTGCTTGACGTAAAAAGCTTATTTTTGGCAAACGGATTTTTCAAAAGTCAAATTCCAACGAGATTAAACTACCCCTCAAATATTACCAAGTTATAGTAATATAGTAATATAATAAATAAACACTCACCTCTTAAACTCCTCAAAATACTCCATCCTCTCCAACGAATACACCACACACACCCTCCCATCCTCCTCCTCCTCCTCTCCCTCCCCCTTAACCACATCACCATTCCTCACCCCCGACGACGTGGAACACGTTCCCTCCCCACCAGTGCCGGTCATCAGTTGGCACAAGTGCACGTCCCCGTAAGTGCCGCGTCCGATTTTCTCGATCGCCTTGAGACGGTCGCGCGCGATCGTGGCCATCGGCGACGTGGTCCGGTCCTCGTCCGGGAGGTCGTTTCGGGGGGTTCCCAGGGGAAGAGTTAGGTGACGGCGTGCCGCGGACACAGGCAGCGCGGCGGAGGTGCTGAAAGTAAGAAAGAAAATTGGTTTAGGTAAAAAAAGGGGGTGGTGGTACGTGAGAGAGTGGAAAACGTTTAGGTTTGGAGGTAATCGAGTGTCTTATGTATGACTTCTACGATATACAGGGTGGTCTGAATGTATTCCGGCAGTATTATTACTTCGGCAGGGTATTTTGCAGATAAAAATAAGTAAAAAAGTTCGTGTAAATTTATGTCCTAAAATGCTTAGTTTCGGAGATACAGGGTGTAGAATTTTCATATTTATTTTGATTTCTTTCAAATAATTTCTGAAGTAACATAAATATTGGTGTTTGGGAGTTTTTTGACATAACAAATTTGATTTTGATGTCAATATGACTCCTAAAAAAAAAGTAAAGGGCACCACCTACATGATGGGTTTTGAAGAGTAATAACTTTTTGTCTGTACCTGTATAAAACTACTGAGTAAAAACACATACATTTCCGTGACTTTTTACGTAAAAAATGTCTCTCGGTAAAAATCGTTAAGAGCAACCGTTCTCAAGATATTTAGAACGGAAATAGTCAATACATGTCATTAATGACAAAAAAATAAACACGTTGAATAGATAGTTATTTGACTGAAATAATAAATTTTGAAAATTCTTATTTTTTAAATTAATCATAAATTTTTCTTGAAAAAAATGATGATAAGACAGTTTCTGTTGAGCTTTTGGCACAAAAACATTTCAAATTTTCAGTCTAATAACTATTTAGTCAAGATGTTTAATTTATGTCAATGATGACAGGTATTGATAATTTCAAATCCAAATATCTCGAGAACCATTACTCCTAGCGATTTTTATTAAGAGATCTTTTTTACGTTAAAAACGTCGTAAATGTATATTTTTTTACTCAGTAGTTTTATACAGATACGGACGAAAAATTATTACTCTTCAATCCAGTTAAAAATATGTAGGTGGCTCCCTCTACAAGTAGGAGTCCTATTGACATCAAAATCAAATTTCTCATGTCAAAAAACGCCCAGACACCAATTTTTTATCCAAATAGTGATGTTACTTCAGAAATTATTTGAAAAAAATCGAAATAAAAATTTAACTTCACCCTGTATCTCTGAAATTAAGTATGTTAGGACATGCATTTATACGATCTTTTTTACTTATTTATATTTGCATTATATGCTGCTTATGCTTATTGTCTAAAATTTTGACAAACTAAAACTACCCTCACCGGCGAAAAGTTAACAAATAACATCACACATATATTTTTGGCGCCCAACGTGGAGCATCAAAAACAGTGTGTCCTCTTCTGTTATATTACTTCTTCCGAGCTACAACTTAGTAGTTGTAGTTTTACTCATATAGCTGAAGAGATCGTTTATTTGTACATAATACAGTAAATAGCTCGATTTAAAGTATAATATCTAGAAACAAAATCTAAAAAATATTTAAACATAAGAATATTATGTATTACCTGTTAGCGTCATGGGAATAGTAATGATGCGGAGGCGGTGGCACAGGTGGAGGTTTCTGTACCTCCTCAACTACAAATTCCTTCGATACCAAATCTGGAACATCTATAAAAAATGGCAACGATTCAAAAACAACCTAAAGAGTTTGTTAATTTTTTCTACTAATTGAAAAGTACTATCGCTAATTTTGCCGTTCTGAATCCTTATATTAAAATTAGAGGAACAAGCATCTACGCTAATTGAAACCACTAATTTTTTACCTCGCAATTAGTAGAATAAATTAGTGGTTTCAATTACACTTTATACTTTTTAGTTTACTATCATTCACAATGTTTAAAAAACACAATTAAAATTAATAGAATATCCTAGCAAAATTTTGCGTTAGTCAGTTTTATTCATAGAGCAAACCTAATATTTAGCTTATAAAACAATCAACTTTTGATTTCGACCCACAATTTCTCTCGACGGAAGATAATCAAAGGCCAAAATGACATTTCTCGCAAATTTTGAAGTATAATTAGTGGAAAAGTTAAAAATTTGATAACTTTTTCTACTAATTGAAAATGCCTACCACTAATTTTGACGTTCTGAATTCTTACATTAAAATTAAAGCAACAAACTTCCACGCTAATTGAATAAATAAATAAATAAATAAATGCCTTTATTGTCAAAAAATTTTATAATTTGTAGACAAAGGTAAAGTAAACAAACAAAGTAAACAAACAAGGTACACAAACAAACAAACAAAAGATAATACAAAACATTATTCAAATAATATTGTCAGTCTTATTGTTTAAAATAAACATTTATAAATGTTAAAATGCCAAAGAACAAAAAAAATAAAAATAATATTCAAAAATATTTAGTTAGTTTATAGTAAATATCAATGACCTCTAAATAATTTTATTTCGGTGTCATTGGTAAATATAGCAATAGCAAACATTAGACCAGTGTTTACAAGAGCAAATTCGATTATCAAAATATAATTCATTTACGGCGTAGAAAGCCTTGTCTAGTAAATAAGAGTTCAGTGCTTTACGAAATGAAGAAAATTATGTTATGGATTTGATTTCAAATGGCAGGTGACTGTGCATTTTTTTCGAGTTGTATAATATTGAACTTTTAACTAACTCTGAGCGTGGGGTAGGTAGATAAAGATCTTGCTCCGCGTTCCTGAGTGGATAAGTGTGAGATGGCCTTTCTTGAGAAGTTGATACATGCTTACGTATTAGGCAAACGGATTCAAATATAAATAAGGAAGGAAGAGTTAATATTTTTAATTTTTTAAAAAAGTCCTGGCAATGAGCTCTGCTGTTTAGCAGTGAATATCGAACAGCTCTCTTCTGGAGCTTGAAAATGCGGTCAAATTGAGTCGCACAACACGTACCCCAGAATGGAAGGGCATACCTGAGGTGCGACTCAAAAAGTGCATAATAAACAGTTCTAACTACTGACAAGTTAAGCTCCTTAGAAACAGACCTTAATGCAAAACAGGCAGAGCTTAATTTTTTCGACAAAGCTTCGATATGCATGTCCCATTTCAGAGAATTGTCTACAACAAGCCCTAAGAATTTTACAGATTTTACGACGTCAGTGGTGGTGTTATTAAGTATAAAAGGATGCAGCGAGTTTTTATACGACAAAGCTTTAGTTTTAGAAATGTTGAGACTCAGGAGGTGCGGATCGCACCAAGATTTAATGGTGATTAAGTCATTTGATATAATCCTATGAAGTGCCGTGACGTCCTTGTTGCTCCAAGTAAAGCTAGTGTCGTCCGCTAAAAGACATATTTGCCACTGATGTTTATGTTAGCAATGTCGTTAATAAAAGAAGAAACAAAATAGGACCTAGTACTGAGCCTTGTGGTACCCACATTCTATTGGCTTGCTAGAAGACAACGTGGTATCCACCCTCACAAGTTGACTTCTGTTGCTCAGATACGACTTAAACCATTCGAGAGATGTTCCCCTGAACCCATAGTGCTGCAGTTTATTAATTAGGATCTTATGATTTACACAGTCGAACGCCTTAGAAAAATCACAGAAAATTGTTGCTGTAAAATGATGGTTATTTAGGCTGGAGTAAACTTTATTAAGGAGTGAAAACATAGCGTCATTTGTGGACTTGTAACCACTAATTTATTCCACTAATTTTGAGGTTGTGAATGCAGCTTAAGATTTTTTTCTCGAAAATTTTAGAAAATAACTTCATCTGAAACAATTATTCGTAGTTCCGGAACAAGTTGTTAATAAATTTAAATTCCCAAACCCCGCCAAGCGTCTACAGTGGTGCAGTTAGGCGGTATTTTCTCCCAGCCGCTCCACATAAACAAAGAACGAATTATCCTCGGGCGGGCATGTATCATTCGGTTAAGTTAGCTGTTAGTTAATTTAGGAGATTAGCGAGGCGGATTAGCCAGATTCGGGCCCCATTCAGTGCTGGCTTTTTCGCAAAGCTGAGCAGAATGTGATTAAAATATTGCAGGCCTGAGAATAGTGAGCCAGTATTTATGGACGCTCGAGTTCTGAAGAGAATTGCATTAAATTTTGCAGTTAACACCGTAAATTTAGCTACTCAAATAGTTGCAGTTTTATTATTAATAATACAATGACCAGCAGGAAAAAAACAGAACACCTTAAAATGTTCAAGTATTTTAAAATTACAATATATTTTGTTCTAGTGGGCCAATTTTGATAATTTTTTAACCAGTTTGTAGCTAAATTATTTGAATTTTTAACCTTCATTATAAATTAAAAATTAAAGTGAAATTTTGATATTTTGGTGAAAGTTCGAAACACCCTGTGGAAGTGTGGAATGGCTAACCAAAGCAAGGAATTTAGAAACGACTTTACCTTTAAGTTGAATCTTTTTTCAATAATTTGTTTTTTTGGTTCGTGATAATAGCATTATTTTTGTTAGAGATATTTGCTTTTGAAGAAGACAGTAAGTAATGATTTACAGAAATTCTCGCTTTTCCAGTAATTTTATTTTGATCATAATCATTACACCTGTGAAAGAGTGTTGATTACGTATTGTTTTTATATTAATAATTAAGTTTTTATAATAACACCTACTTAAATTGTAATTTACCCTGTACAACTTGATATTTAGTTAAAATAACCGTTGTATGTTAAATTAAATTAAAATTCTACCCGAAAAGCTATACAGGGTGAGACAAAATTATTTTTCGACATTGGTCACATTTAAAAACAAGTTACTCCTTTATTTTAAATGGAACACCCAGTATATTATTTCAATATTCAATGGAGAATTGACATATCTTCAAAAAACTATTAAGGTTGCCTACCCCTTAGACAAAGATTTTCATAGATATTTTCATTTTTATGATTTTGCGTCAGTCTATCTTTATTATTTGATAAAATCTAGGTGGCTGTGGATTATCAAATAATAATAATCTACTAACACTAAATCATAAAAATGAAAATATGTAGAAAAATCTTTGTTGGATGGGCAGTTTACTAAAATTCTTCGATAGATAATTTGTTTGACATCAGTACCAATCACTAACCATAAAACACCGTATTCTACAGTATATTGCAAAATAAGGAAAAAAAATAAAAATAAATAGTAAAATAAAAAAATAAATGAAAATAGCAAAAAAAAATAAATGAAAATAGGAAAAAAATAAAATAAAAAAATAAATGAAAATAGAAAAAAATTAAAATAAAAAAATAAATGAAAATAGGAAAAAATAAAATAAGTTTTTATGAGATTCTCACCTTGGTGAACAGTTATTTTCTTTGGACAACTTTATTATTTGCATTTTATCCGATTAGCTCATATTTTTCCTGTTTAAGCCTTAATTAAAACGGTACAATTTCGAGGTGAAAATCGAAAATCGATATGATTTAATCGGTGCGTGATAAGTCCGAATTAAAACCAGCACCGCCAATTAAGTGAGCGAATTATGCAAATCCGACCTCGACGGTATCGAGGGACCATTATGAACAACGTGGAAACAGCTAGGGAACGACAACCGCCGGTTAAATTAACCGCGGGTTAACCTAAATTAACTGAAACGTTACCTGGGTAGTCCTCGCCGAGCGACAGCTGTTGGGCGTAGTCTTTGTACAGGTCATCCTTGTTACTCTGAAACAGACCACAAGAAACTTGAATTAAAAAAATAGTATATTGTTTTATTAGTATTAAAAATGATACTCTTTGTGGCGAAGCTGTATGTTTGACTGAGACACAAAAAATCATGTTTTCCATAGCAACTGTTAAAATTGCCTTATATCTATCAAAAATGTTAGATAAAATAGTACTTAAAACTTAGTAACCGCAAAGGTAGATTAAATGATACTTTAACAGCGAGGATAGGTTCAAAACTTTATTTCTTCTCGCACGTTTTTTAATTGCTTCCATTTTTGAAAATGTTTGTATTCCTTTTCATAAGTCATTCGGGATTTAAATGGATAGTTTGGATATGGCGTTTGTCGCGTCAGCCTGAATATCTGTTGGTAATTTACTTATTTCGTTTTGAGCCATTTCTGGCTCCAATTCAATCAGCAATCGACACAAAAGAGAATTAAAAAAGATTGACTCAAAACTGACAACTAAATGATAGCTTTATTTATTTATATTTTGTCGTTATGAGAGCGGCTTTGGTTTCCCTCAGGTCTCCGATGATGACATTCTGTTCAGCATAAAGACCTTAAAGCCTAAAAAAACAACTGGTCCTGATAATATACCTCCTTATATATATAAGGGATGTGCTAGTTTTCTGGTCGCCCCTCTTAAACATATTTTTAATTTAGCTCTGAAACAGGGATATTTTCCTGACAAACTTAAAGAAGCCACTGTAACACCTATATTTAAAAAGGGAAAGAGGGAGAATGTTCACGATTATCGACCTATTAGCTTACTAAATAGCCTGGCTAAAATATTTGAAAGAATTATAACTACATACACTCATTCATATCTGATAGAATTTCAAAATATCAACATGGTTTCCTGCCGGGAAGGTCAACAGTTACAAACCTATGTGTGTTCTCTGAACATGCATCGAAGGCAATATCAAACAAACAGCAACTTGATGTCATATATACCGACTGTGCAAATGCTTATGATAAGGTGAATTTTTGTGTTATGATTGAAAAACTGGCAGATCTCGGGTTATCAGGTGAGTCGCTGTGGTTTTTAACTTCATACTTAACTTCGAGAGTTCAAAGAGTTAAGATAGGAAATGTTTATTCCAATCAATATGTTGCCACCTCCAGGGTACCCCAGGGTAGTATATTGGGCCCTCTTTTGTTTTTAATCTTTATTAATGATTTGCCTGAGAGTCTGAGGGTGTCTTTGGGGTTGTTGTTTGCGGATGATTTTAAATTATTTAAACCAATTAATAATATTGATGATACTAGGGCTCTCCAAACTGATTTGAACTTGGCTCTAGACTGGTTTAAGGAGAACAAGATGCTTGTTAATATTAAAAAGTGTGTTGTTTCTTTTTCCCGGAGGATCAATACAGTCATTGAAGACTACTACATTGGAAATTGTAAGGTTGTGAGGTGTAGGGAAGTTAAAGACCTAGGAGTGATTTTTCAGGACAATTTTAAATTTAACAATCATTACAACTACCTGATTAACAAGGCATATAGGATTCTTGGTTTTGTTACGCGTAATAGTAAAGATTTCGATATACAATCAACTACAAGGCTTTATACCTCTCTTGTAAGACCGCATCTTGAATATGCGTCAAATATCTGGTCTCCCAATTGTTACACTCACAGTAACGAGATTGAGAAGGTTCAAAAACGTTTCCTTCGTTATATTTACATTAAAAGAAACAACATGTATCCAACAATGATCTCTTACAGATCAATGTTGGAAACATTTCATTTAACTTCGCTGGCCTCTAGGAGAAGGACACATGCTGTCATCTTTATATATATAACATTCTTAATAATTTAAAATATGCTGACTGTGGTCTGATTAATAGCATCAAATTTAGGGTACCAAAGATTAGGTTGAGAGTGAGTGGGTTTAATCTTTTTTACATTGAGGGTGGAAGCCCCTCGCCATTCACGTTTATGCTCACCATTTGTAATGATATGTTGTCTGGGAACACAATTTCCGATATGTTTAACATTAAGTTTGGCGAACTTAGGCGCATCTTGTTGGTGCATCAGGAGACAAATCTGGTGTAATAGGTTTCTAAGTTTTTAGCTTAGGCGTAAAAGTACTTTACTTTTATGCCTAGGCGTTAAAACGACTTTTTTATATTATCAATCACGTCACAAAAATTAATACTTTTGTGACATTTGCAAAAAAGTTTATTGTTTTATTTAGGTAGGAGTAAAAATGCAACATTTTTTATTCAAAGCCTCGAAACAACGTTTTGGGATAAGATTTGACGCCATATATCTAAATATTTCAAATTCTACATAACTGTCCAATATATGATTAACACTTCTTTAAAAATTCAAATTTAATTTATTTTCTAACTACATTAAATAAAAATAAATACATTTAATGCGTTTTAAATCCCATTCATCGAAAAGATTTACCTAATAATAATCACTGGCTTCATTTTACAATTCAGCGCAACTTTTATCACAGACACAAATTTAACGTAGCAAATACGGGTTATTAGTAAATCAAGCCGGCCGCGATAAAATAAATTGCCAACTTGTAACTAGTGCGAAACCGATTAAAATTCCATTAAACCCCGCGTCATATATAAAATCGGATTTAAAATTTCAATTTCTCCCATTAGCTGTAATTAGTTTTCGGCCAGTAATATACTGCACCGAGTGAAAGTCTATTAAATATGCCGCGATCGTAGATAATGAAATGACATAAAATATGTCATTTATGAAATCTTGAATGATTTTTTTGTTAACGAGTTATAAAATTCATAAGAATAAAGAAATCTGCTTTAAAATAATCAAACTTCAACCGTTAATAACTTTCGAACAGTGGGGTTTACAAAAAAATTGTAAGAGATCTTTTTGTAAAGAATTCAATTTCCTACGTATGGGACTACCTATATGTGGGACAAGATATTTTTTCAAAGAGTAGATACCGAGATATGAATTTTTCTTTCTAATTATAAGGAAAAAATAGAAAACTGAAAGGCGGAGGACCTTCTTATTAAAATTAAGAGCTCATACTTGGAGAAAATTTTTTTGAGGTGTCTACCAACCTGTTTTTCAGAGTATAAAGTGAAAAAATAGTCGATTTTTTTGGCCCACCCTAATCTATAGCTATTCCAACTTCAAAATAACCGATTTTCTGTTAGAAAAATGCTGGTGAAACCAATCGATGTATTTTTTTTTCATAAACTTCGCAATTACAGAAAATACTTTACTTTAAGACAATACTGTGTTAAACCCAATAATAACCTAAAATCGACAAACAAGGTAACTTAAATAATTAACAATATCTCAGTCATTACAGAAAACGACTGAAATCTACACTGCTATGTTAACGAAAATCTCCTTATCGTTGAACAAGTTAAGTTTTTGTTTATTTATATTTTTGAAAAGGGGTCAATTTTATATAATATAACCGTCAAATTTATAGTTAAAGTAAAACTAAATTTCATTTTAACTCTAAAAATTGCGCAAGGGAAGACGTTTTTGTTTCGCATTGAGTTGACTTGCGACCTTTATCATTTTAATTACACACTTGAATTTCAATTGTAATTAAGACGTTTTTCGTTAAAACGGCAGTACAGTCAAATTGATGGACCAATTGAAGAGTTACGATGTTTTTTTAGGAATAGGACTGTTTGGTGCCTACATACATAGGAATTGATTCAATGTCAAAAAATCTATAATTTATTTTTTCTCTGCAAATGTATTTGGGATATTAAGTTAAAATGATTAAAAAAAACAGTTTCAAAAAGGACCTAGAATCTATTTAGTAGAGATTAGCAACAAATCGGAAACTGCGATTGGCTCTCATAGGAAACTGCGACTGCGATTTTTTCTATTTGCGAGTTTTAATTTAGGCAACCAATATTACTATAGTTGCGATTTTACTGCGATTTACGATTTTGTTGCGATTATGATTTTGTAATCTAGGACTGTGATAAAGAGTTGCAATTTTGTTGCGAATGTAATTTTGTGGTCCATTGAAGCATTTTATAAGCGATTGATTTTTAAGCTGCGATTGATTTTTTCTCTGATTTTAATGTATTTATAGAGAAGAGGAGACGATTTAGAGCCTAAAAAAACGGACAAGTGCGAGTCGTACTTGCCCACAGAGGGTTCAGTAGAAATTTGTAGGTACATATTCTGTTTTTTTTTATTTAATTAAAAATATTCGGCTGTCAAATTTTTCGCTTCTGTATAAATTAATAAAAGATCTACAAAAAGACTTGGTCACCCATACGATTATTATGACCGCGCATACCGTTGCTTAACCTCGGTGATTGATTACATACTTTAAATAAAGACTGTTGTTTTTATGATTTAATTACTAATATACAGTTTTCAAATTTTTCCCTATACTTGTAGTACCGTATGATCGAATAAAAACGGCGCACAGTGTGAAATTTACGGGGTGTAGCTGGAAAAAAATATTTCAGCGACTCTTTTAATGAAATATTAGTCTTTTTCGTTTTTATATAAGAAATTTTATCAAGGCAAGGTAGATCATGCACCCAAATAATCGTAGAAGGCATATACATGGTCTCTCATAATGTTTAGTACATATGGGAAACTTTTTTACTATATTATCAGTGGTTCATAAAATTTTTTAATAAAAATTTTTGTTGATTAGAGAATAGTTTTGAGGTTAGTAACTACGGAGTTTAATATACGGAGTGTCTAAAATTCTACAAAATGTGGCGTTGCCGAACCAAAATACATAATCTATAAGAAAGGCAAATAAGAAAGTACTATATACAAGCAAAATACACTATAAAATTTTTGTGGGTCAAACCGATTTGGAAAAACTACCTAAATCGGAGAAAATCAGACAATCAAAGAAAATAAAATAATCAATTGTTGATTTCTCGACGAACCGCACCGCACAAAGAGACTGTATTTGATGTTTTTCTTTCATTTTAGTACCCTTTAATAATTTCTTTTTAATCGAAAATCTCCTCTTAACCAATCAGAATTTTTAGATTAGAAGAT